GAAGCTGGAAACTTTATTTATGTAATTTTAATTCATTACACTATATATTCAGTCTTTGTTACTGCAGTTAAAAGACTACAAACGATAACTGTTGATTATTAAGCAGATATTTCATTAACTTCGTTCAACATATATCGCTCATCAGACTTTCAGTCATTAAACTAAAAACAAATTCTAATCAAGAGCAGAAATCGGTACACTGCAAACGTGTATGCTTTATAATTTTTTCTTATTTTATACTTGCAATTGCTTTAGATGTATAATTAACTGCCATTTTCGTTAGTTATTTGTTTGCAAAGTGTATACAGAACAATGGGCATAAGGAACGTCTAAAACAGAGCAGCATTTGATAGTAAAATTTGTTGGCAAAATTTTTTTAAAGTTGAACTGTGAAAGTAAAAGTGTAAAAAGCAATAGAAGTTTCAGCTAAGTTTACTGCACATCATTCAACTTACTTTCACCTGTGTCCAACCCTACAGCACATCAATAATTTTTATTTAGAAATCGCACATCTATCCACATTTACGACAGTTAATATGTTAATTGTTTCAATATGTTAATTGTTTCAATTTTGATTTTTATTCGAAATAACCCTTGCAAACAACTAATTTTTCGCTTCTCTTCATATTTGCCCATTTACAGCAAAAAGGTTTCTGTGCAACACAGTTATCCCGTTAAAACGGTTCTCAAGGCAACTTTTACTGAAAGATTAGTCACAAAAGTTGCCTGTTAAGACAGCTAAGAGTTTTGTCAGATTTTGAGAACAATTGTAACAAGCAGCCGAATACGTAGCTCAAAATTTTATCACTCATTAATTGACCACTAAAATGCCAGCATCTGATTTCAACGCCATACCGTTTTTAGACATCCAAAAACTCTTTACCCTGTTCACACCACTCGTAGACCTTCAAGAAGCATGACTTTTGAAGATACTCAAGCTTTAAACTTTAAATGACAATTTAGATAGAATAGAAGGTCCTCTTATAGTATACTCAAAATTTTTTAAACCAAGTAAGTGATCAACGCTGAAAACCGGTTTTCTAAAAAAATATCGCGAATTTTAGAGCAAGTAGTGTGTTTTCCCCTGTGGCGATCTCAAAAAAAATTTCTTTTTCCCATAAACTTCTCGAATCTATGCATATGTGGCTTTCACACAAGTTCTGCTCGGTTTTTGTAATTTTAAAAAGCTAGCATTTTCTTGCGCTCTTCAAATTTCAAGTTTTCACTAATACCTTTTTCGCTCATAAATACTGTGGCCGTTATCCTGAAAAATGTTTTCTGTTTAACTTCTCCAGCGAAGGCCTAAAGCAGACAATTTGAATCAGCTGAAGTCAGTTTTAGAAAAATGATTGAGAAGGAGGGCAAAAGGAACACTACTTTCTACAAATTCTAGACAGTCTTTTTGTTTTTCTTCTGCTCTATTATAATGCTAGTGAGAAACTAAGAGGTGTTACAGATTTGTGGATAAAAAAATCTACTTTTCTACTTCTTCGTCAGCTTCTAATTTCTTACACGAATGCTTTCATTCTTTAATTAATTTAATACTCACCTCTTTTATAAAATTTGATGCGTGTCATCAGTTATACAATAATATAATTTTAGTTGACGAAAATTTGGTCGTTAGATGCACAAGGTCTTAGACAGTGACTGCACTGACGAATGATGTCAAATAAGTAAAAGTATTCGTTGGAAAAACATTCAGAGAAGTAAAAGTGACCAGAACAGTTTATAATACTCGTTTTTTTTCCACGCTTCCAGCCATTTTTTACATGTAAAGTTTATTCCATTCATATATTGAAATTTTAGAAAAATCTGTGTAGATTCTAATCAATTTTTATCTGAGTAACTGAAACTGTCTCAAATAAAACTCTTTATTACACCAAGCCAGCGCAAAAAATGGCGCTTTGAGGAATAACTACAAAAAAATACACATCAAAATTAAAAATTTGAAAAGCTCTAGTAAGAATATACACAATTTCTTTATAAAGTAAACAGATGTGCGTCGTGTACAGGAGCAAGTAGGGAAAAACTGCTCGTTTAAAAATGCAAGTGCTCTCAACTTATCAAATATCTTTCGCGAAAAAGTAGACTAATTAGGTTTGACTTACCGCAAATGACTATAGATTATTAAAAACTATAGAATTCACTGCTGCTAAAAAAAGCTTTATTTTAGTCTGTAAGCTAAGGTATTCACCGCAACACTGTTAAAAAACAATGTTGAGAGAGAGAGGGAAGAAAAAAGGCAAAACTTTAAGGAAAATATAGCTTTCAAACAAAAAGATGGCAGTGAGAGACAACTGTGGTATATACAACTTTACTTTACAGTTGCAACCACCACAGTTATTACTCTAAGTTAAAAAATAGGAAGTTCTTTTACAGCGATGGCTGCAAACATATACCCAGATATGAGGTCTTTGAAGATGTTCCCTCACCAGGCAAACTGAGATTATGGCAGTTTCGCAGCCTTCTCAGCATGGTGCACTCGTCGATGCATATAGGTCCCGTTCTGCCTCAACAAGGAACCTTGTAATTCCTTATGGGTGACACAATAGTTCATTTGGAAATTAGAGATTTATAAATAGCAGCGAATGTTACAGACGTCTTCGGTCCTTAGTGAAAATGAGGAAGTAGAGTGACCAGTGTAAAGAACGGTATAATAATCAAAGATGATGAAAACAATGACGTCACATTACAGTTAAAAAATGCTCAATTACTCAAGTTTAAGGTAAATTGAGCAGCAGCGATTACCTCTAGAAAGTGTAGTGATTTGGAGCAGGCAGAACCTGTGCAGCATCTGGGAAGATGAATCGATTTGCACGTGGTACGGTATGATGTCGATTTATGCGATGTAATGAGGGATCTGAGGTGGAAGTTAATGGTTTACATCTGTCCAAATCTACTGCTATTAAATGTACATGTAAGTAAATTTTTACTTTAAAAATCAAATCTTTCACTTTGTTTTTCTAATTTGGAAGAGAAGCAGCACCAGCGTCCCCAATGCGTGGAGTTGTCAAAAAATGAACTAATTTAGGACCGACGATGAACCTGCCTAGAAGACTTGAGCATTTATTACAGGTGTTGAGTGGTATTCTTAATAATACTCTGCTCTTTTATACATGTCTGTCTGGCAATGATCTTCCATCATGGCCTCCAAGAGCGTCCCCTTAGGGTCATGACTGGTACATTACTGTCTTCGGTCCTTGGGGCCATTTCGCGTGCCGTCGCGACAGTAACACTTATTATATTGTGTAAATGACGTTGGACACCAGTCCACCATCTTAACTAATACAACGTAAATTAACAAAATAGACTTCAAATGTAAGAAGGATGGTTGAATCACTGTCCTCCCTCGACTTAGCGGAAAGTTATAATAATTTATCCATCAAGTAGCAGAAGAACGATCCTAAGTTTGAAAGAAAGCACTTCCTATAAGCTGCCAAGAAGTGCTACAAAAAAGAATAAAATACAAAACTTGGAGCAAATCTAAATATTAGAAATAGGAAAATCACTGATGTGAAAGAGGCGAATTCAGCAAACTATTCGTAGGGAAAAACTCTTTTGTGACCTCTTGCCTTCACTATTTATGACCGGGTAAATGTCGGTGAGCAACCGTCTACCCTTCAAGACCGTCCATTTAGGAGCAAAACCCTGGCCACTTGTAGCCTGTTGCGTGCAATGATGACAAATTGTGTTTCCTTTACTAACTGCTAAGTAGGTTATTGCAATTTTCGACTTGCGTAGCGTCTTTTTGTGTTGCACTTCCTGATTTTTTACCGAATCTAGTTCTGCCAGCAAACCAGTGCAAATTCCTCTCTGATACCTTGACTTTTTCTTCACTTTTAACAATCGCTCTTTAGTTTTCCTCAAAACTGCGATTGTCCACGACTCGATCCTTTATCTGTTTGGTATTACTAGTCGCGAAAGTGGCAGAGAAAAAAGTGGACAAAGAAATAATAGTTAATTGAGTAAACTGAAGAAAATAATGTAATCATGTAAAGAACAGCAATACTAGCCACGCAATATAATTAAAATCTTTGACGACACACTATGTCGCACTTATGCCTGAAGTTGAAACGCCATGAGATGATTCAGTGGTAAATGAGGTTATTAACAGGCTTAAGTGATATACAGCCTATGCCGACAAAGGTGAGCTTACAAAGAACACATTGAAAGCAACTCAACAAGCAGTCGCTCGACTCTCGAACTTTTAACCTTAATGAACAACCAAAACTGGACTGCTACAAGAAATAAGAGGAATCGTATATCACTTAATTGCCTTTCAGGCTTCTCCTCAAACCTTTATCGCTTACGCGGCATTCCGCTTTCCACCGTAGAAGTCTTGCTGTCTTCTCTTATTCGACTTCACATATATTTGTCTCTTACTGCTTCAGCTTTTTTTCTCTTTCTTCTTCTTCATGTCCACTTCTCTTACTCCCCTCTTTTATTTCATTCACTAGCCATTTGCAGTAATGCTATTCTGCACCATAGGTGGCTGAGCACTCGCTGTAGAACTGACAAAATACTGACTTTCAGCAACAGTACGTAGACTCCATCAGTTAACCTCACTACACTGTGTTTTCTCTAGTAAACGTAATCGACTGCTATTTAGAATGACCGAAAAGCTGGTAAGGATATCCAGTTTCAAACAGGAAACTTCCTTCACGTTAAGGAATCGCTCTGCCATCTGTATCTACGTTGTTGGATGTTCCTTTGTTAACCAGTGTTCCTGCATCAGAAGGAAATGAATTAAACTTTGGAGGACGCGTCAATGACCAGAGTAAAAAAGGTGCAATGAGATTTGCTACTTTCGCGCTTGAAAAACAGCTGTTTTACTTGAGGAGCCGCGAAAGATTGGAGGTACAAATGTTTAGTTTTTGTTTAGTTTCAATTTTCAATTTTCACTTTAGAAGCAGCTGAGGCGGTGCTTTTCTTTAACGAAGAGTGTAGTCTGACAAAGCAGTCTTTCAAAATGCACCAAAATTAACCTCTTCTAAATAGCAGTGATAAAAGCCGTTCACATAAAGCTCTAAAGTGGCTGTTTTGCGCAGGCAACCGCTTTTACGTCTGCATAGCGTGGACAGGGAAACCGTACGAGGCGAACCTACAGCTGAAATCGAAGCATTTGCAGCGAATGTGTAGTAGCATTGACATCGGGTTGCAAACTTAAAAGATGGAAAAGCTAGTAGTACGGCATTGAAAGGCTCATAATGAGATTTTTGCCACAAAGCGGTAAAACTGATGCACTGATGCTGTTAAAGAGTGAAACAATAGTAGTTTGCTTGACTGTAAGAAGTCGTCAATGAGTTCCCTCTAACGACTCTCGCTATTAATGCAAGCATGAAAACTTTAAAAAAACGATATGATATAAAATTTTTTATCATCTCTGCCCCTTTCACACCTCTTTGCTGCCCGTAACTTATGCACAAGCCCCTTTCCATGACAATTAAAACCGTCACTAGTGTTATGAAATAATGAAAAATGTAATATTTCCTATCCACTTATTTTTAAGCTGAATGGTCCTGTCTCTGCGCTGGTGAATCAAATCCTTTACAAATACCACTAAAGTTATTTTAAACAGGGCGCGAATTTAAAATGAATTTCCAACACCAGCAAGGCCCAAAAAATCTTTGTTCTTGCAGATACTGGGTAAAATAAACGACTGATCTCTTTTGTCTCATTAATTATATTATTACAATTTAGCTGCAAATTCCTCACCTGCTGCCAAAATCGCTTTTTTCATTCCTCAAAAGACGTCAATTACCATAAAAAAACAAAACAAAGTTCAAAATCCAAAATGAAAAACACTTTCTTTTGCTAAAACACTTGTAATTTGCAAATCAGACTGAAAACATGTCATAAAGCTTTGGCAGGAAAAACGGTAAAGTAAACACAATAAAAAAGTGCACTTTACCGTTTTTAGAACACAAAAATACACTTTAAAATTTGTGAGATACAGGAAAGTGAACTACAGTATTCAAAAGCAGTAGGCTTCCACATCGCAGTATAGTACACATAGATCTAGAAAAAATTACCAAGTTCACAATTAAATTATAAAGCCCCGAAATGTCACTGATTTATAATGAGACAACTGGATACAAAGTTAAAAAAGCAAATAATCTTCTGACTCAAAACCATTTTTTTTGTTTAGATCCTAAGCCCTCAAAAGCAGAAGTAACCAAATAGAAGACGCTGAATTCAGTTTTTCCTCCATGGCAAAATCACTGACAATTATAACCTGACGAGAGGGCAACCAAAACGATGAGAGAGTCATTAGTATCTTTGAGCAAGAATAGTTTTTATTAATGTTAGAACGAAAGATCAGCTCCTCTTCCCTGCAAAATGTTAACCGCTTAGAAACTTTTGAAATCAAAAGAGACTCAAAACAATGACCAAAGAAGCAGAATGAATAACCATGAGTCCAACGAAATTGATTACAAGACAGAAATGTAAAAAATAAAAATTAGTTTCCTTTCACAAATAAAAAGATTATAATGTATTTACTTACAATGAAACAATGATATCGTTTTAATGCGTTTTTAGAAGCTACAAAGTTGTGCTCTCCTGGTGGAGCTTAACAGCAGAAAGCTACATTAACACACTTTAATACTTCGCTAAAACCACTTATTCCTTCTAACTTATGTAAATCCCTGATTTGTTCTTCAATTTCTCTAATTAACCTGAACAGAAGCAACATTATTGCTTTTGTGTGCAAACAATATTTATATGGACATATTGTCAGATTCGAGCGACTGTTGCTGAACACCTTTATGGACGACGAAACTGACGGCAACTAATGTATGAAAGACTCAACATCAGCAACAACAACAAGAAAAAGAACAAGTGCATTTCCAAACCCCTGGAAGCGTTAACCGGGGTAACTGCCTGTCTGAAAAGAAGCAGAGGAATATTCACTTTGAGTTTTCGTCTTTTCTACCGAGAGGCTTCAAAGGAGTCACATCAGTCTGCCACGTCTGAAACTATTAGTATAAC